AGTCATTTGTTTTGGATGTTCATTACAATGGGGATTGTTTAGTGCATAATTTGCTTTTAAAAACTAAAAACCAAGAACAAAACTTATTTGAACAAACTTCTTGAAACTTATTAAAATTGTATCAATAGCCATTTCAACCTGTAAAATGGAAAAGCTGACAAACAATGGACCTTTAACCATCTAATAGTTTATCTAACTTGCTCAAAGGTTCTTACAAAATATGTCTCTGTTTGTATAATACTTCTCAAAGAATTCCTAAAACACTTCTGTTGTTTGTATGGAAACTTGGCAGGTGTGGATTCTTCAGGCTGTTAATTTCTCGGAGGAAAAGGTTATATTTTACAGTAAGAGTGAAATATTAAATTGCAACCAGATCTAGGCTTCAGTGGCTTGGGAAAGCAGGATTTCCTCTTTCCTTTTTTTCCTTTCTATAGACCTACAAATATTACTTGTACCTGCTGATGAGAGTAAGTTCTTGTGTTCATCAGTTTAGGAAAGTGGGGACTGAAGGACAAATAGAGCATATAAGAATTGGAAGAAAATGTTTTCTCCCTATTACAGAAGGTTCTTCTGTTAGTTTTTAGCAATTAATTTGATAGGAACAATACAAACTATGCCCATTCCATTAAGTCTCTTTAATCCTGGATTTTTACAACACACTAAATTTTAAAATTTAATTAAGAAAAAAACAATGATTAAACTCAAATAATGTGATGCCTAGTTCACAAAGTAAGTTAAGACAATGGCTTGCTTTCCATAATGCATTGAATCGTAAACTGTATCTAATGGAACAGTATTTGTATGAACTAGCCCAGTGATGGAGAACCTATGACACGCATTTCAGAGGGGTTATGCCACAATGTTTTGAGTGGCATACCAGGATTCACCTATACCCGATAACATCTATTCTCCGACCACAACCCATTCTCATGAGATTTTTCAAAGGCTGTGGAGGCAACATAAGAATGGAGTGTGGTCTCACGTGGCCTCTAAATCTTCTGAAATTCATGCAAGGGGGTTCATTCAGGCTCTCTGAAAATTTTGCGAGAGCAGGACATGCTTTCAGGAGGTTTGGAGGTTGTGGAGGCCACATAATAACATTCTATGAAGCTGCTCCAAAGTCCTCATGCAGCCACAGAAGCTTCAGGTAAGTCACAGAAGTCTATCAACAGAAAACAACATTGCTTAAAGATAAGAAGTGCACAGAAGACGCTGCGGAGGCTGGCTTAGCGGGGATTTATTGACATATCAAGCCCCAAAGGTTCACCAGCCTGTCTCTAGCTTGTATAAATAATATAAGTTTGGAGAGATAGCCAGCTATTCACAGATATAATCTGGAACTGTGATTGTGAACCTATGGCATGCAGAGCCCTCTCTGTGGGCACCACAGCTGTTGCTCCAGCCCAGCTCCACTGCACGTCTCCCACCGGCCAGCTGATCTTTGGGTCTCTACCGCACATGCATGAGGGGTGGGACACATGCGGGGGACACGCGCACGCATGCATGGGTGGCAGGGTGCATGCACGTGGGGGTGCTTGCACTGCATTTTGGGGCCTCACACAGCACCCCATGCCCCATTTTGGCTTCCAGGTTGGTGCAGGCAGAGCCCTCTCTGTGGCCGGCCAGCTGTCATGCCAGCCCAGCTCCACTGCGCATGAGCACGCGCCTCCTGGTGGTCTTTGAGTGTCTGCTGCATATGCATGGGGGGCGGTGTGCATGCATGGGGAGGCACTCGGATTGCATTTTTGGAGCTCACGTGGCCCCCCCATGCCCCATTTTGGGTCTCGAAGAAATCCTGCACCAACCTGGAATCAAAAAATGGGCGACAGGGGTGGGGCACATGTGGGGTTGTCACGAGCGCATACACTGGGGTAGGGAGCATGGGGGTTCGCACATGGATGTATGGGGGTGGGGCCCACACAGGAGGGTCATGTATACATGCATGGGGTGGGCACATGGAGGGGGTCATGCATGAATTGGATTATAGATGCGCATGCACAGGCTTTTGGAATGTGATGACAAAAAGGTTAGCCATCATTGATCTAGAACAATGACTTTTATTAATACACTTAAGCATAGCCTTTTCTAGCAGACAAAATTATATTACTGTTGTCAAAACCAAGAGCGACATAACTTTCATTCTCTGGAAAACAACAATACATAAAGGGATTTATATAGCATACATCTTCATTGCCAAGGGCGTGGTTAATAGAATTATATTACTGACATAAAAGCACAGAAAGCACTTCAATCTATTCACAAATATTTAATAAATCTGGTCACTAAGTCTTCTCCAATACGCTGCTACTCCATTGGGCTGGGTTCATACTCCAGGATTTCTTACTAGCATGCCTGAACTCCAACAGGAAATTGGAGAGTATAATGCTTGAAAGGATTCCTCCAGATCACAGAGATTTATTGTAATGTAATTCATCCCTGCAAGTCTCATTTACTCCCAAACCCATTTCTTATTAATCTAGTTAAAAGGGATGTTAAAAACAAGATCTGTCCCTGCAATTTTTTATCATTATGCTAAATTGTAAAAGGAATTCCGTGTTTGTTGCTTTCATTAGTAGTTGTACTTCTGTCTGCTTGAAGAAATGTTCATCTTACTTGTCTGACTATGAAGCACTTCCTAAAATTTACTGTGTGGTGCTAAAGTGCTGCAATTGTATTGCAGCTGAAAGCTGATCTATTGGATTAGATTCATGAAGCCACTCTAAGATAATATTTTCATTAGAGCCAGTAAAAATTCTTTTAAGTTCTTCAAGTTTCCTGGAGATGTGATCTCCAAAAAAGAGAATAATAGCCTAAGTTACAAGCCACAAAATCTGGAATTCTAAATTATCTTAAAGGATGAGATGACTAAGAATAAATTTGTTTAGCCTGCTCTCGATGTTAAACAGATTTCAGAATGTACCTCAGTTAGAAAAAGAAACAGAAAAATATTTGCATAGATTAGATTATCTGATGTGCAAATTCATAATTCTGGTACATTGTACTAATAGGATCCTAAGCAGGGGCAAACATAGGATGAGATTATTACTCTTGTCCCAGGTTTCCCAGAGACCACCTTTTCATCGCTTTAATAATAGAAAGGTAAACTATTTCAGACCTTTCCCTTTGTGGCCTGCAATATAGGCATTCTGGAAGTTACTGCCCACTACAATTGGAACACAATAGGTTGAGGATGACTGGATTCAACTGATTAGCAATTATCCATTCAATCAATTCTTTCATTGTTTGTTCACTGGAGTGTATTGAGAGTGGAGGTAGTCACACATTAACATTAACTTTGATCCTGAAAGATGTGGGTTCCAGTTGAAATCCTGAAGTCTGATTATTAAACAGATATAAAAAAGATCTAACCCAATGAAGGCAATACATCTTGTAAAATATTTTTGTAAAGCCAGCTATATACATTATTCATTCTTATTTGTCAGAACTTGTATAACTTCAATGAAGCATATTTAAATAGACAAAGAGAAGACTGAACATGCAACGCTTAATTTCAAGACAAACTCCCTTAAATTTAATTCCTGTTCCTCTAGCCAGAGGTAAGAAATTTGATGCCTTCAAATATTCCAGATTACCTCTTTTATAATATATAACTCTTGACCATTGATACAACAGTCCTATTTCTGATTTTTGAGTTTTTTAATGGTGGACACTGAAACAATAGAAAAGGAATCAGCATATTCAAACTCCCTGCTTTATTGTTTCACATATTTAAAATCTAACCTGAGAGGTTTTATTTCCCCCTGAAAAGAGAATCTAAACCATCAGGCAATCAAGTCCTGTGAACAAAATATTTCTTACTTTCATTTTTTTTCTTTTAATGCTTTAGTGGGCATCTTAAATTCTTTGGAGTTATATTGCTTCTTGAGAGGGTGTTTTTTTTTTTTTTTGCAGTCCCTATAGCCATCTCTGATTACAACTCCTGAAAATTGCAGGTATCCAAAACTTAAGCTTCAAAATAAACTTGGATAGAAACAAAGAACTCATTAAAGTCTTTGCCAAATTCACATATATTCTCAAAAAACTTGCGCTATAACCTCTATACCTATAGATGTCTCTCAACTTATAGCCATTTGTTTAATGATCGTTCAAATTTATGATGGCTCTGAAAAAAATGATTTACAATTAATCCTCTTATCTATGGCTTATGCAAGATTCTCATAATTACATGATCGAAATTCTGGAATGGCAGAATTTTGGCAACTGATATGTATTTATAGCAGTTGAAGTGTCTGGGGTGGTCAAATTATCACTATTTCCAGCTATCTCAGGAGTCTTCTGACAAAGTCAATGAGGAAGCCATATCTGCAGGATTAAGATTATGTGATTTGTTTAACAATCACAGCAAAATGGCTATAAATTGGATGTGACTTAATGACCACAATGCTTAGTGATGGAAAATTCAATCCCAATTGTAGTCGTAAGTCAAGGTCTATCTGTACTGCATTCCCTGAGTATGCAAGCATTTATTTAAATGTATCTTTTCCTAATAAGAATCTGAATAAGAGGGGTGAAAAGATCCAAGCAACAAACAAAATAACCACCAAATAAATAGGAAAATGAATGCATTATGTCATAAAGTAAAACTCCTTCCTGACGTTCCTTTGTAATATGCCATCTTCGAAGAAGTTTTTCTGCCCTTTGCATAAAAGTCCACCTTAAAAATTAGGCATTAATTTAGAAATCACAGGATATTTGCAGTTAGATTATAACACCCTAAACAAGCGGGTATCTATCTTGTTTTTAAAAAGGGATTTTTGGAATAATCAAATCAACATGTTAGTTCAAACTAAATTTCTAAACTCATTCAAATACCTCATCTTTTTAAACATATGTGATAAATTACTAGACATACTACATACTACTTCAAACAAGTACAATACTCCCCATTTCAGGTTTACTGAAATATTTTTTTTTCTTGCAGAAGCCCAGATGACACAGGAAAGCTATAGATGTGAAGCAGGAAAATGCTCTTGTAATACCTGGTTAATTTTGTGTTTGCCACAGGAACAGCAAAGAGATGAAAAACTCCTTTTTTTCCGTTGTCCCTTTGGGAGAGAATTAGAAGAGGCTTCCACATTCGAGTCCATATTATTTGTCTCTCTAACATCTCCAGAAACCACCTCAAAGCTTACATCACAATTTCCCAAATATTGCCTTCATTCTGCATATACATAGTGTCTGCACTGAAACAGATCTATAAGCAAATGTTCTGGCATATCAGGGTGTAGATATGATTCACAAATAGAAAATACCGGTTTTTCATGGCTTGGCTTACATAGCTATAGCTGGGTGTGGCTGAAATGCGTGCAGGTGCACAACTTGGACTCTAGCCATAAGGAGAATACTTTTTCTATAAAAATATCATTTATAAGGACAATCTTAATTGCATTATTAGACATGCACCAAAACTGTTCAGGACATAAAATGAGCTCCTCCCTTATTAAATCTTTCTAAGTAGCACACAATGTCACTGCTGATAGAGGAACTAACTGGTACCTGAAGCAATGTAGGAGACCAATGACACCATCAATTGATTGGCAGGCAAGTCAAATCACCACCCACACCAAACTGACATAATGTCTACTAATAGCCTTAACATTTAGACCTAAAGAATTGAGATGTTGGATTCAATAACAGAATTGCTCCATATCTAAAGTGTGGTCTCTTCTGAAAAGATCAAAGTTTTTTCTGATAGCACATACCTGAAACCAGATAGGAAGAAGTAAAATTAGGTCAGAGAGAGAAAAGTAAGCATTCTACATAGACAAGGTATAATAGCACATTACTAAAATACCAGAGCTTCTCAAATATAAGAACAAATTGTAGCAATTCCTAAAATAAAATAGATCTCCTATCCCATATCTGATTACTGATCCCATTTTAGATCGTTCACCTCAAACAAGAACAGTTTAAAACATCACCTAACATTTTTTACTTATTAAAAGATATTTACCATTCGAAAGAGAATTAATTAGTTCACATTTCAAAGCGGATGTATCTGATTTCACATTTTTGAACATACCAAAACTTAGTTATCACTTGAAATTTGCAAGCATTACTCAAGTTTGCAAGTGTTGGCCAATAATAAAAAAAAGAGAAGAAAAAAAATCACGTGCAAGATATATATATATGTATTATATTAGGGTGAATAATGTGTGAGAGGGGTGGTATATAAAGTTAACTAACCGATTGCTTGATCAATAATGGATATGCTAGGCACAGTTAAAAAGAAGATATTTGGAAGAATGTCCATTAAACTGAAGATTTTAATCCATGTCTTTTATTAAAAACATCAAATTCAGCAAAATGAATGACAACAAATAAATAAATAAAAAGAAAACAAACTTGTTCATCCATTTTTCCATCCTTACAGTTTTCTTAATTTGAAATATTATAGGGAACCTACAACCTTCATATACAAATCATTAAATGATTAACTAATAATTACTGCAGAAATTGACCTATTAGCTTCTGACAGATTTATGTAGGCAAACAAGATTACAAATTGTTTAAAATAAAAATTGGCTATATTGTTTTCTGAGATGCTTAGAAAGCAATAATAGTCCTTCAACTGGCAATATTTAATTGACTTCAATAGGATTGCTTTAGTGAAGTCATATTGCATAGTATCCCTTAGGAAGGTGACCATTTTTTAAATAACAAAAATGTATCCTCTTCTTGGACTTCTGGTTTGAAGGGCTTCGGTGACAGACAAGAATCCGTGATCGTGCGCGGTTTCTGCCTGGGCTCGCCGCTGGAGCGCCCCGAGCCGGCTGGCTTTGGGACTAAGCCACCCCGTAGAGGTGATGAAGAAGGGGAAGGCTGCCAGCAGGGTTGAGGAGAGCCACATCTCTCCTCCTCAGCTGGCCAAACTCCCTTTCCCGAAGGCGGTAGGAGCAGCGGTCAGAAATGGCCGCCTCAAAGAAGAACTCAACTGGAAAAGAAAGTGCAGGAGGAAGATAAGAAGTGAAAGTTTTGGCTGACCACTTTAAGCTGAAAAAACAACAATTAAGGTACCCTGGAATTTAAATTTTACAAAAGATAACATCGCTCCCAAAGAAGGTTGGAAGCAGCGAAAGAAAGTGAAAAGGGAAAGGTATTTTTTTTCTTCTCTCTCCTTCCTTACATTGACAACTAAGAGATCGGAATAAGAAATCAGAAAAATCAGTTTTGGCACCAATAGGCAATTAAGCTGAAAATATAACTAAGTGCCAAAGTGACAATAAAGATTTCTGGACATTTAAAACGTTCTCTTTTATAAGCAGGAAGGGAGAGGAAAAGAATAAGGGCAGGATCTGGAGGGAGGAGACTGCCTGGACTTCAAAAGAATCTAAAGTAAAACTTCAACAAGACTTCTAAAAGATACATTTTAGCTGAGACTTTGCAACTAAATAGTAACCCCAGGAAGAGAAAGTGTAAAAAGAAACAGCTGTGTGTATTTGGACTGTCTGGTGACTTTTGGATTTATGGTTATTATATTTGAATGACTAAAATCAATTGGGTGGTTGTTTAAATTGTTTTAGAATGGCATCTCTTTTGGATGAATTGAAAATGGAACTTAAAAAATACAAAGAAGAGGCACAAGAAGGGAAGGGCTCTTTTGGCTTCGTTTTTCAATTCTTAGAAATGGAGATCTCCAACTATGAGAAACAACAAGAAAAGACTGCAAAACAAGAAGACTGGGACAAAGAAGAAGCCATCTTTAATGAACAAGTAACTCTATGTGGGGAAGAAAGGGGAAGGGGAAAGAGAATGGAGAATTTAAGACCTAAAAAAACAGCCAAAAAAGGGAAAAATAATTTGAAAACTGGATATAATGTTGGAAAGCAACATAGAAAAGGGGAATACAGAAGAGGGAAATGGAGGTGGAGAGACAGGGGGGTAAAAAAGGGAGAGAGAAGAAGAGAGGGAAGAAGGAAAGGAAGAGAAGTTATAAAGGTTTGGAGCAAGATGTAAAGAAACAGGACCTATTTAGAGATAATGGGTGAAAATCTGAAAAAGGGATTCTGTGAAGGTACATAAGATTGTATTGTTATATTTGTAATAGAAATAATTTTAGAAAATTGGAAACAACATATGATTAAAAAGAGGAATAAAGTAGTTGGTGTGGTTTGGGGAAATGTTTGTGGTTAAAATAAATGAAATAAAATAAATGAGAAAATTGAATTAGGAAGGAATGGGAACATTTCAATTAGTCAATGTTTTATAAAATATAAGTGAAGGGGGGGGAATTAACTATGGAAAGTTTATAATTGTTCCCATAGAAGTTTGATATTTATTTGAAAAGTAATGTGCAAAATGTTAAGATCTAAATGAATATTAATATTAATGATAGAATTGAATTGGAACTGATTGTTGTTTTAATTATATTATACATGTATAATCTTTTTTTCTTTTTTTAAGAATACAATGTGTAGTTTTAGAATGTGCCAAGCAGAATCCGAATGAAAGTTATGTATTATATTAAGTGTTATAATTTTAGGGGAAAGATATAAAGGTGTGATTACAATCAGTGATTACAGGAGAAATTTTGTTTAATGAGAAAAGATAGTAGACAGTTGAAACAGGACAGACAAAGAATATAAGTACAATGATTTGAATTGAGATGAAATAAATAAAATAAAGAAAGTTAAAAGAGGGGAGAAGCTATGTAGAAAATGTAGAATAGTAATAAGATATGGAATGGAATATAAAAATGAGCATAAACTTGAATTTGTCTGTACGAAGAGATGTAACCCAGGATTATGCTGCTTTCAAAAAAGATGTTTTACTTGTATTTCTTTTTTTTTTTTTGTGAAAACTCAAATAAAACTTACTAAAAAAAAATGTATCCTCTTTTTTATCATATAGCTTTTAAAATCCTACACTTCTCAGAAAAGAATGGGAATATAATAAATACGTAGGCAAATCAGTCTGAGTTTAACTTTATGACTAGATAAAAGAAACCTGTCTTTTTAGAGTACTCTTAAATTAAAATTGTAACTTAATTTTATTTTCTGATCCATTAAAAACAGGATAGGCCAGCACAGGCACTGATGCATTCCTGAAGCACAATTATAAAAATAATACATTGCAAAAACAACAAACAATAAAAGTAGAGTGTAGCTTCCTTCTCCACCCAAAAATCTTTAAAGGTATTCAGGCAGCAACCCCCATAACTCCCCAGCCAGTACTGGGGAAGATTGCGATATATATAAAAGCACAAAAGAGAAAACTGGCTGGAGAAAACTTAAGTAGAAATATAAAGTCTGATGAAACCAATTTGTTTTCACTATAGATTTATTTTTTTCCCCAAACTTGGCAACTTCATGTATTACAGTTCCCAGAATTCACCAGCCAGCCCTGGTATACATATTGATTATTAATTCTCCACTGAACAGTCCAACTCATGAAAAACAACTGAAGTAGAAGGCTGAATGCAACTTACTTGGAAGAATAATTCAGGTTCAAAATTTGTACTCCTGCCTATCTGCTGGACATCTTCCAATGCCTCCATGACTGATCTCAGGGGAGTGGATTACCTGCATGGGCATAACCAAGCCATGCACCAGAAATTTGCTTAAAAATCTTGGAAGCTCTAAGTACCACGGAAGATTTTTAGCTCATCAGTAACTGCAGCAACAAAAGTACCCCTCGGAAATGACAGAGCATTCCACTAAACCAGTTCTTCTAAACTGGCAATGTTTAAGAAAAGCCACAAGCTTTGGGAGTATGCTGCCTGACTATTGTTGATGTCCTAGTCAACAACAACTGGAAGATACTGGTTGGGAATTTTGAAGAAACTTTTGGCTAAAGCGCAAATCCAGTCTAAATAAAGTGAGTTAGAACAGCCCATGATTTGGTTCTATAACAGTCCAATTCAAGAAATTTTATCACACAGCACCATTTGCCTGAGATGGAAAACTGAATAAAACTTCCTCGTTCTATCACCACTGTTTACCATATGCTGGAGAAGGTAAACAGCAAACTGAGAGCTGCCATACAAGACATACTGTTGAATTTAGAAGGAGAAAATTCTTTGAGATAATTACATAGGAAGCAGGGTACAATTACAGCTGAAGAATTAATTATTTCCATGATGAGCCAATCCAGAAACTTATATCAGCATGTGGAGCGCCTTTGAAAATGCTCCCACCGTCAGAGTATTCATGGAGCCTTATCCTGCGCAGAATGCTGTCTATGTGTTTGGCTCCTATTCTCCCAATATTTTTTTAAATAACAAACATACATCATTTTTATCAAAATGTTAATGGTTAATTGGTTTTTAAAATTTTCTTAATTTTAATGTTAGGTATAAAGTTTATATTTTCATTTAAAACATTACATCTTAAAATACTTGTAGAAATGCATGGAGAAGAGGATAAAATCAACATACACATATATAATTACCTATTTCTAAAAAAAATAATCCAAAGAGATTAATTAATAGAACAAATTACAATATTTAAGGCCATAAAACAGCTGCTTGGTAACAATCCACTCAATGATACAGCAAGGCAAACAAAGCATGAAGAGATAGTCCTCAATTTACGAAAACTGACCTCACCCCCCCAAAAAATTCCATTGCTAAGCAAGACAGTTATTGAGTTTCTTGCTATTGTTCTGAAGTGAATCAATGCAGTTGTTAAACACACAGTTGTTAAGCTAACTTTTGTCTTTGCTTGTAATTACATGACCCTGGGACATTACAACTGTCATAAATGCATGTCAATGGCCAACTGCCCAAATTTGGATCATGTGACCATGCTGCAATGGTCATAAGTGTGAAAACAGTCATATGTTACTTTTTTCAGTGCTGTTGTAACTTGAAGCCATCACTAAATGAATGGTTGTAAGTAGAGGACTATCTGGATTTGACATTAAAGTTAACAAAATGTGGTGCCAACTGAAATAGTGGAAAATACTATAATTGGACAATTTGCATTAAGATTCACAAACCAAATCTCTGATAAGTGTGCCATTATCAAAAGACAAATCTAGATGATATGAATGACTAGGTAGGAATATAAAATAGAAAATAATTCATTAAGTCTCTAAATCATCAGCTCATTTTACATAGACAATTACATAGCTTATAAAACTCCAGATAGTGGAGTTCATAACTGCCTGAAA